AATCCAAATATACCCTGTAAAAGTGCACTGTGTGTATGCATGTGTGCGCACTGCATGGACAAAGAGGGGCAGATTTATGAACATTACATTGTCATACATCGGCTGCTTTTTACTTCAAGTCAATGTTCATGCAGTATTGTAATATGTATTTAAAAACATTGGAAAAAAGGCCCAACATTTTGCGCCAATACAGTTAAACTGCCACACACAATATGAGACATGACTGGCACAGCCAGGACATCAGGGTTTAAGTAACTAAAACACAAACAACACAAAATGCGCACCACCAAGATGTTGGGGTTAAAGTAAAAGTAATGATCCAGATTCATGATCACACACCATCAATTAATAACTAAATACATTTAATTGTCAGTTTGTGTCTGGAGAGCATCAGAAACCATCACATGACACAAACATGCTCACACAAAAGCTTCAGAAATTAGAGAATTTCTGGGATTGTGGCAGAAACAATTGATGATAGCATTTTCTAAGACTTACCTAGAAATCCTGCTGAACATGTACAGATGTAGCCATTGATCTTATCCTCACAACTGCCTCCATTCTGACAGGGTTCAGACTCACACTCATCAATGTTGACAGAGCAGTTCTCTCCTGTGATGTGAAATAAACAAAATTAGTGTCAGATTCTTAAAAAAGGAGTGTGAGAAGTTTAGCTCATTGTTTTCTTTAGTTTTACTTACCTGCAAACCCAGACTGACACTGACAAATATATCCAGCTGCATCTGCAAAGCTGAGCTCCCACTCCATCTCCCAGTGAGAAGGATCTGAACGCTCAAAACACTCCCCACCATTCTCACAAGGCTGCTCTGCACACTCATCTATGTCATTTTCACAGTTTGGTCCTTCATAACCTAAAGAAAACAAAACACAGGATTTAGGTTGGTTTGATTTCACTTACAATAAATAACAATAATCCATATGGTTTCTTTAACCCTTATTCACCATAACATTTGTGCCTCCTCATTTGAATCAGAATCAGAATCCTTTATTGTCAATGTTCAACATTGTCACCAACATTAAAACAGTGAAAATTGTTTTAGCAGCTCTTCTTGTTACAGCAGCATTTGACTGATTTTAGAAATCAGAACAAGAATCAAGAAGTAAAAATCTTTAATGTACATTTATTTATTTTTTTTAATAAAAACACAGTCAAAGAGAGTAAACATAGTAAGTGTAACAGCATAATTTGGTTTATTAAACATATATTAATACATACTGAATAAAAAAATTGGTATGGATGTGTATTTTTTTAGTCTTTTGGAATAAAATACACCCTATCCCTCGAATCCAATGTTTGCAACTGAAATGATCAGAATCCCATTGTGTCTTGATGTAAAACAAGTAGGAGGAAAGATGTTTTTTTTCTCCCATAGTCCCTCTCTCTTTTTCTCTCTCTCATTGCAGGTATCTCTGACTCCAGAACTGCAGGAGAACAACTATTATTATTAATATTACTATTATTATTAACAACAATACTTCAGTGATTAATTATTCTATTAATTGTTGCTGCTATTATTCATAATCAATAACTTCTTTACACTGTTATTTACATTTTAACTAGACAGAGCTGATACCTGATGTTGCTCAAATGTTCCCGGTCTCTCTCGCCTCTCTCTCCCCCTCCCCACTATCTCTCTCCCTTCTCTCTCCTCTCCTCCCCATTTTTCTCTGCTCACCCCAACCAGTCGAGGCAGATGACCGCCCACATTGAGTCTGGTTCTGCTAGAGGTTTCTCCCTGTTAATGAGGGAGTTTTTCCTCCACAGTCGCCAAAGTGCTGCTCATTGTGGGAACTGTTGGGTTTTTTAAGGCTTTGACCGTCTATTTAAAGAGATAATGTATATTATGATTTGCCGTGATACAAATAAAATTAAACTGAACTGAATAGTTAGTCCTGGAATTCCATAAATATACCTGTCTGTCAGTAACATTGTAATGTCTGCTGTGGCAAACAATAACTGTTTCCATGGTCACTGTGTGTGTGTGTGTGTGTGTGTATGTGTGTGTATGTGTGTGTGTATGTGTGTGTGTGTGTGTGTGTGTGTGTGTGTGTGTGTGTGTTTGCGTTTGCGTGTGTGTAATCAAGGTATATTTAGTTGGGACCAAAATCTCATACATTATGGGGACAAAAAGTGAGTCTCCATAACGTAAATCATTTAATAAAGCTCTGGAGGATGGCTGTGTGAGGATCGCAAGAACGGTAAGATTCAACATTGCCCTCTCTCCGGTTGAAGGCAACAAGACCACAGACACCTCTAATAAATCTAGTCTGTACTTGCACATAACCCTATTCTATGAGACTATACTTCAATAACCCTTCTTTCTACCAGACTACATGCCATTAATCAAAAACTAATTTTCTAGATGTCTATCTGATTTTAAGGAAATAGTTCTGTTTACTTTTAACTCAGTATCATCCCTCAATATAACTGACAAATTCTTTTAAAACCTTAGTCCCACTGAGATTGACTATCTTGTCGAAAGCACCACAGACTCACTACGAGTAACATTAGACTCCAGAGTGCCTCTGAAAAAGATCCCAGCTCCCTGGTATAATTCCAACACACAAGAATTAAAACAAGCTTTAGAAAACTAGAAAGGAAGTGGTGCACCAACAACTGTGCTGAAAATTATCTAGCCTTTAAAGTTAGTGTTAGAGCATATAAGGAGGGCCTCCACAAAACAAGAACTGCTTACTACTCTACATTAATATAGGGGAAAAGAACAACCCCAGGTTTCTCTTCAGCATTATAGTCAGGCTGACAGAGTCACACCTCCATCGAACCCAGTATCCCTCCATCCCTAAATAGCATTGTTTTTATGACCTTCTGCAATGATACATTTCTAACTATTACAAATAAAATCTATCTCCTGCTCTCAATAAAGGCTAATACATCATCAAGCACATACATCTCAGGAACAGCTGAGAATCCTATTAATGATTTAGACAGCTTCTCTCTGATCACCATTGATCAGCTGACCTCAGTTATCTCATTGTCTAAACCTACAACTTGTAGCTTAGATCCCATTCTTACAAAGTGAAGGAAATTCTGCCCCTAGTTAGTATTACTTTACTGAATACAATCGTTGGCTTTGATCCAGTACTTATTGCACAAATGGAAGTACTGGTTGCCTTAAAGGAAGAATCCAATTAAATTATTTTATTTTTTGTTAGATTCTCTGTTGTATTTCCTGCTTCAATAAATTCACAAAAGACAGTTCGATCTGAGAATAAAAAATAAAAAACAGGCGACAGGAAGTGAATTGTTTTATACTTTGATGCACTGCTGCTGGCTGCTTTACAATATACAGCTCAAATGAGCTCAGAGAAGCTATAAGAACATGGTCAGAATTGTGACATTTCCTCAAACCTGAGGTGTGGTGAAGGTTGATCCTTCGCCAAAGGAGAAGAAAATGTCATACCTCCACTGTGCATTTTCTAATCAGCACCAAAATTTAAACCAATGATCACAGTCTCCACAGTTCCATGTGTCAAAACTAATACAGGGTCATAGCGCCACCTACTGATTCAATGTGAAACAGGACTTTTTTTTAACTCCACTGTGCATTGTCCAGTAAGCCCCAAAGTTTTGTCACATGATCAGAGTGTTGATCTGAACAGCTCCATATGTTCAGCTGAGGAAACTCCACTTAGGCAAGGCTGCGGAAAGCCTGTGCCTGTGGAGTGCTTCACCGTGTCTTCAATATGAGCCTGAGTCTTCAGATGGTCCCTGTGCTTTGGAAGACATCCTGCCTCGTTTGTCCCAGTGGATCCAAGGACTACAGACCAGTGGTCTTGACGTCCCACATCATGATGACCCTGGAGAGACTCCTCCTGGAGCATCTCAGTCTCATATTCAGGACACACTTGGATCATCTACCTGCTGAATTGAGTCGACGGCCACGTGGACAAGCTGGCTAGCACTGTGAGGGTCATGTTTTTTAACTTTACCAGTGCTTTCAACACCATCAGGCCAGCTCTACCGGGCGAGAAAGTCAGTGATGCAGGTGGATGCACCTGTTGTGTCCTGGATTGTGAACTACCTGACTGGCAGACCACAGTATGTGTGCTTGCACCACTATGTATCTGACAGAGTGGTCAGTAAAACCAGGGCCCCATAGGGGACGACCATCTCTCCCTTCCTCTTAACCCTCTACACCAAGCACTTCAGCTACCAGACAGAGTCCTGCCATCTCTAGAAATTTTTCTGATGACTCTGCAATAGTTGGATGTAACAGCAAGTGTGAGGATGCTGAATACAGGGCTGTAGTGGGTAACTTGGTCACATGGTGTGAGCAGAACCACCTGCAGCCTGAGTGTGACAAAGACAAAGGAGCTGGTTGTGGATCTGAAGAGGGTCACGACACCAATGACCCCTTTTTCCAACCAGGGGGGCAGTGTGGACATAGTTGAGGATTACAAATACCTGGGAGTGTTCATGGACCATAAGCTTGACTAGGCTAAGAACACTGATGCCCTTTACAAGAAGGGCCAGAGCCGCCTCTATTTTGAAGATGTTTTATGAGACTGTGGTGGCCAATGCTCTGCTGTTTGCTGTTGCGTGCTGGAGCAGCATGTTGCGGACGCCAACAGACTCAGCAAACTGATTCGCAACGCCAGTGACATTGTAGTGGTGGAGCTGGACTCTCTGACAGCGATGTCAGACAGGTGGATGCTATATAAGTTATACGCCATCCTGGACAATGTCTCCCATCCTCTCCATGACGTGCTGGTCAAACAGTGCAAGACTGAGATCACAAAAATGCACCACAAAGCGCCACAGGAAGTCATTCCTGACTGTGGCCATTCAACTATACTCCTCCCTCTGAAAAACTCTGAGTCAATAGACTGGAGTCATTACAATACATATCCATTTACACTAAATATTCAATGTACAATATTGTATATATTTCATATTTTATTTTATTTTATATTTTATTTTTAATCTTATATGCTATATTTCTACCTTTTATTTGGGGCAATTGTAACAAACACAATTTCTCCCTGGGATCATTAAAGTATTTCTGATTCTGATATGTCAATATTAACTCAGGGTACAGAGTCACCTACTGATCAGCGTGAAAACAAAGTTGTTGTAACTCCACTGTGTATTGTTCAATCAGAACCAAAATTAAAAACCTATGATCACAGTCCCAGCTTGAACAGCTCCATATGTCAATATTAATTCAGGGTCATAACGTCACCTACTGATTGACTGTGAAAAGGACATGTTTTTTTTAACTCCACTGTGCATTGGCACAAAAATTCTGTCACATGATCGGAGTTCAGGCCTGAAGAGATCTATTAGTGATTGGTGGGTGTGGTTCTGCATTGTGTGAGAGATGCAGGAAGTGAAGCATTTATCCTTCCCGTGGTGTGCAGCCCTAGTTCTTATTTATTTTCTCTCACCAAGAATTTCTGCCACAAAACTTGGTGATGAGGATCGGATTGGACACTTGATCTGGACTCAGAGAGTAGGACAGAAGGCGCCACCCAGAACATCTGATTCCTCCCAATGGGTAACCTCCTCCTCACGGAGGATAAATAAATAGATTCATCAGACGACTAACTTGGTCATGCATAATGGGAAATTTTACTCTACATCCAGCCTGGCCTTACCTGGCCTTGACAATAAAATAGCTGATTCTTTATCCCGATTTAAATTCCACATCACAGCCTGCATTGCCCAGCCTTCTCCCAAACCGGCCTAGATTAGGAGGAACTCTCCAATCGTACATGAACTCTGCATCCCAGGATATGCGACTTGGTCTGGTGACAATAAAAACATATAACTCTGCATGGTCCTACTTCACTGCCTTATGCAAAGCTTCTCCCATTAACATCCCCATAA